CTAATGTTTTTGTCACATTTTACGGAATCAAACTCAAAGTAAGGTCAGTACTTCCACGCTTTAAACGCTGCACGCTCATACTCTCTGCGTTACTAAAATCATGGTTTTAGTAACGCAGTAACGCAGTATCGCAGCGTGCTTACGGAAAAGTAACAGTAATCTAATTACCTTTTTTGCAATAGTAATCCCTTACTTTACTCGTTACTTGAAAAAAATAATCGGATTACAGTAACGCGTTACTTGTAACGCCTTACTGCCCATCTCTGGTTGTGACACATAAATATGTCCAGTGACATATTTTGTGGGTGGAGCCATTGTAACCAAACATTTCTTTGTTTCGTTTTTGTGGAACAGACTGATGTATTACCTATAGCTAGAGCGACGAACTTCAAATATAGCCATGTAATGAAAATATAGCCATTCCCTATGGTATCAGCATCCATCCAGAGAACATGCAAACTCCACACAGGAAGGCCAGCTGATTCAAACCCAGGACCCTCTTGCTGTGATGCAATGATGTTAACCACCAAGACTAACCACCTAAGCCCAGCCCAGCTGTTATATGGCAAGAGGCAGGGTATATCCTGGATATGTTACCAGTTTATCACAGGACATTTGTGGTATTAGACAATGATGCTAACCACCCTGCCACTGCACTACACCACAGAGATGTCAACTCTCTAGATCCATCTAACTTCCGTAGTGAGGAAAAGTTAAACTTTTGACTCTAGTGGGACTCGAACCCACAACCTTTGAATCACTCCTTAAGTGTATGCTTAGAAGTCCAATGCGCTATCCATTGCGCCACAGAGCCAGATGTGTGACCTTGTCCTTGTTGACAAATCAGATTCCTCTGTGAATTTGAAGCAGCTTCTGTGTTCAGAGTTTCCCTTGAATAAAGGAATAATGACGGAACAAAGTCTGGACTTTCTGGATCCATGAATGCCTTCTCTGTTTTCACACGTCCATCCAGCTTCTTCCTTTTCTCTCTCACCAGTCTATCACAGAAATGCAATTAACCTTTCACACTAATTAACCTAACTTGCAGAATACCTGGATGCTCCAGGTAATCCCACAGTCATCTCTTATTTTTGGTTCTGGAGAGTGGAAATTCCCTCTTGGATGCTAAAGTCTCAGATTATGTGATGACATCACATCTGAGTGATTAGCTTCCATGGATAGTGGTGTCTATACAGATTTGTCATTTGAGACAGAAATTTTTCTTGTAGTTTCAGTATTAAGATGTACATGACTTTAACATTAAGAAAACACATGTACCTTCTAGATGTCAACGTCTTCAAGTAACTTAAAGAAGTCCAGATGCTTTTTCTTTGCAAGCTCCTTTGACCATGTACCTTCTACATTAAGAAGTTAAGGGTTAGACTCTGGTGGGACTTGAACCCACAACCTTTGAATCACTGCTGAAGTGTTTGCTTAGAAGTCCAACGCGCTATCCATTGCGCTACAAAGCCAGATGTGTGGCCTTGTCCTGTGTAGTAGATTCAGTATTAAGATGTACATGACTTTAACATTACAAAGAAACATGTAGCTTCTACATTAAGAAGTTAAAGGTTTGACTCTGGTGGGACTCGAACCCACAACCTTTGAATCACTGCTGAAGTGCTTGCTTAGAAGTCCAATGCGCTATCCATTGCGCCACAGAGCCAGATGTGGTTTTTCCTGTTTTACTTTTTGACAGATGTGATTTGACCGTTTAAAAAACTGGTATGTTAAAATGGCTCCTATGGACTGAGTTTCCCTTAAATAAAGGGAAATCTGGACTTTGAAGATCCATTGATTCCTCCATAGTTGTCAGCCATCCATCCAACTTCTTCTATTTATCGGATTCAGGGTCGCTGGGGGCACTGGTGCCTAACCCAGCTGTCATAGGGTGAGAGGCAGGCTCTACCCCTGGTCAGCAACAGGTCACCAATCTGTCACCCCATGTGCGACTTGGGACTGTGGTAGAACCCACGCTGACACAGGGAGCGCTCCTCACAGAAAGGCCACAGGCTGGAGTGGAACTCAGAGCCTTTTTACTATGAAATAACAATAGCAATCTTCACATGGACTACAGTAACCGATTTAAAAGCCCAACCTCAAGAAAAATGCTTCATGTAAACACACCAGTTGGAAGATTCTGAGAAATCCAGACAGTGGCATTTATTTCCATCAAAAAACACAGTTTCTTCTTCTACTATTTCTAGGAAGTTAGACAATTTGGTGCATGCCGTTTCAAACATTTGATGCATGTTTATGCACATCATGATCTATCTACCCAAGTTTGTATCAACAACCTGCTATTTGGTTCGTTTTCATGCTTCAATGCTTCTAATACGCTAATGAAATAGTGACTAATGTAATGTAAATATCTACTAAAAGTGTTGGCTTGTCAATGACACACCTTATATATGCAGACTACTTATATTAGGCCTAAAAAGCCAATACTACTTTCTGATGATGCATGTAACTTCTACATTAAGAATTTAAACGTTCAACTCTGGTGGGACTCAAACCCAAAACCTTTGAATCACTCCTGAAGTGCTTGTTTAGAAGTCCAATGTGCTGTCCATCGCACCACAGAGCCAGATGTGAAAGGCTGTGCTGTGTCATATGTTCTTAAATCTAATTCCTCTGTCAATTTGAAGCAGCTCCTCCATAATTTTCCCTTATAAAAAAAAGATTGAATATAGTCTAGACTTTCTGGATTGTTGCTAGAACTTAGCCCAGCTGTGATAGGGGAAGACACAGGGTACACCTCGGATCTGTCACCAGTTTATCAGAGAGATACAGTCAACCAGATACAAGCACCCATGTAAACATGTACATGTAAACTGTCTTATCTCTTATTTGGTTTTTAAGCAACTGGAGAGTGGAAATCCCTTCTTGTATGCTAAAATCCCAGACCTCAATGCTAAGTTATTAGCTTCCATGTATAGTGATGAGGACTTCTTATTTGAGTTAGAAGTTGCCTTGTAGTTCCGTTCTTAAGAATTACATAACTCTTACATTAAAAAGAGGTTAAAAGTGTTGACTTTGGTGGGACTCCAACCCACAACCTTTGAATCCCTCCTGAAGTGTATGCTTAGAAGTTCAATGCACTGTCCATTGCCAGGGGCGAGAGGATGCCCTGTGCCATTTTTTGTCAGATGTGATCCGTCCATTAAAAATGTGGTAAATAGTGACTAAAGTAATTTAAAAATCTACTAAAAGTGCTAGCTATTGCATAGACATGCTTTGTCTATGCCGACTTGTTATTTGAGGCTTAACCCAGTAACTAAAATGCCTTTTTGTTAGATGCATCTAACTTCTATAGTGAGGAAAAGTTAAAGATTCAACTTGAGTGGGACTTGAACCCACAACCTTTGAATCACTAAGTGCATGCTTAGAAGTCCAATGTGCGATCCATTACGCCATATGTGAAGGGTTGGCCTGTGTCACTTGTTGTGAAATCTGACTCCTCTGTTAATCCGAGGAGCTTCTGTGAACTGAGTTTCCCTTATATAAAGGAAAAAAGAGGGAACAAAGTCTGGACTTTCTGGATCCATGGGTTCCTCTATTGTCCCATTCATTCAACTCCTTCCGCTTGAGGGTTGCTAGAACCTATTTAAAATGCCTTTTAGTTACTTTCTGGGAAGGCAATATTTTATGATCCTGTATTTAGGCACATAAAATCTCTTTTTCAGGAGATACACCGGCACTGTTGTTTGAATTCTGTTTCATATCACACTCGTTCTCTGCCTTCTTTGCCTCCTGGGGCTCTTTCTCAGATTTCAGCATCCACGATGCGGAGCTTCCAGGACAGCTCGGATCTCTTTTTATTGGAGCTAAGACCTCTTTGCTAGTGTGTAATTTGAGCAATGATCTGGAGTATTACAGTGACAGTACCACTGTGGTTTCAGAGCTGGATGCACTGGGTGATGAGCTGCTGCTGGATGATGACACCTCCTACCTGGATGAGGCCTCAGCTGCCCCGTCTATCCCTGAAGGAATCCCCAGTGACAGCAAGACAAATAAGGTGACAGTCTACAGAGCTCAGTTTTCATGACATGAAGGGCAGGGTTGTGGAAAATACATGAAAGTAAAATAAAAAGTAATCATAAAGAATTTTTCCTACTTCAAAATGGAACTTTGGGGTGTGACTGTGTATGTAAGCAAACTATTAAACCTGCCACGAATTCTGGTGCCAGTTTCTAATCCTGTGTATGTGTTTGGTAGATTAGCTATAATGTGCAAAACTCTGTTGTTTAAACACAAACCTGCTAAGTGAATAACACTTGAAATGTAAGTGTTTTGCTCATGGCTGATGTTTTTTTCTTCTTTTGTGTTCAGGATGGTGTGCTCGTGGATGAGTTCGGCCTCCCTCAGATTCCTGCCACATAAACAAGAAGCAAATAAAAACAGCTGCACTCGAACTGAAAACACTTTTATATGTAGAGTAACATTTATACATGCAAAACCATTTGACGTGAGAACACTACGATTTGGAGGCTGTTCTGGTTTCAGGTTGTGTATCGTTACTTCTACCGTGCTGGCATGTGGCCTTGTAACATACTAAACCTTTTTTTTTAGACATAATTCCCTTCATCTTCTCTTCCTTTCATCATCAACAGCTTGTCTGTGTCGTTCATTAGTGTTCCTTAGTGTTCCTTAGTGTTTATTTATTTCTGTTTGTTATTAATTTTGTGTGATTTTTAGTCACTAAGATCGTGTCTGCATTCTCAAAAGTGGAGGTTATTCACACTTGGGCTGTTTAAAATATCTGCAGGGTTATTTGAAACATGCAAAATAAAAATGTTTGTTTTAAATCAGCTGTGAGTTCTTAATTTATGGCGTATTTGTTCATCCTCCTCTATCTTGTTTTTAGCTCTTAAGTAGACATTGCTAGTACCACGTTGCCATCAGCCTGTTTTAATTCTCCATTGCATAGATTCAACAAGGTGCTGGAAACATTCCTCAAAGATGTGATTCAACCATGATGTGAATCTCCTGCTCCACCACATCTGGAGTCCATTTGAGTACAGCGAACTTGCTGTCATGTTCAGGAAACTAGTTTGAGATGATTTGTGAGAAACAGCCATCAAAGGATGGATGCTTTCCTGTGGGTGTGGTCATAAAGGGATGGATTTGGTCAGCAACAATACTCAGATAGGCTGAGGTGTTTAAACGATAAGTGTGTCAAGAAAATATCCTTCATGTTATTACACCACAAGCAGCAGCCTGGTCTTTTGAATCAGGCATGGTGGATCCACGCATTTATGTTGTTTACACCAAATTCTGATCCTGTTTTGCAAACTTCTTCTCTCATTTTTGATCAGAGATTTTTGTAGCTTCAGTTTCCTGTTCTTAGGTGACATGGAATGGTACCAAGTGTGGTGTTCTGTTACTGTAACCCATCTGCTTCAGGCTTGAGAGCTCTTGGCCATACCTGGATGGCAAGAAGTGGACCTTTCATTTTTTCTGTTGCCATGCTATGATCAGTGTGGTCATTCTCCTCTGACCTCTGGCATCACTGAGTCATTTCCACCTGGAGAATTGTCGCTCACTGGATGTTTTCTCTTTTTTGAACCATTCTCTATAAACCCTAGAGATGGTTGTGTGGAGAAATCCCAGTGGATCAACAGTTTCTGAAATACTCATACTAGCCCATCTGGCAGCAACAACATACCACATTCAAATTCACTTAAGTAGGGCCATACCAGTGAAACACCCCTTTCTCTCGGTATAAAGTAGTTTAAGTGCACTACTTAAACTACTCTGAGATATCTCAGTATAAGAAGTGCAGTTTCAACAATGCGTCTTGTTTTTCTCTCCATGATAAAGAAAATCTGCTGTACAATGTAATGTAATGAAGCAAATGTGTCAGCACAACTCTTTGGGCTTAAATTGTAGAAAAAAATAAATAAAAAAATTCAAATTATGGGAAAAGTTCTGCCCAAACTGTCATGTAAATAGAAATTACAGTTAAAGGTCCAAAATGTATTTATGTTTCCAATTGTGTTTCAGATTTAAGTCTTTTTCATTTTTAGATTGAGGCCATTTTTCGCATTACTGCCATTTGATTGGCTGACTACATATTTGCATTCACAAACAATGGCCTAATATACCTAATATATACTACATAAGTGACCAGTGAATGCTTGTATTATTGGATCTAGCTTACAATATAGAGCGCCTTGAGGCGACTGTTGTTTGGGTTTAGTGATGTGTAAATAAAACTAAATCGACTTGAATTGTAAATATCTTATATAGTTACTTTAAACCTCAGCACTTCAAGCAAATCCCTAAAAGTGCCTTACAAAGGATTTTCACCCTGGTACAAAAAATCTTTTACTCACAGTTAACAAGTAACTGTTCTTCACTTATAAGGACATTATTGAAGTGATTTGGAAACAGCCTGGTATTACCAGCAATCGAGTTACACATGCGCTCTGTGGGACACGAACCTACAACCTTAAAAACTTTGTTAGCGCTGATACAGAAACTACATTTGCGAAACAGCTAAATATATCACGACTCTACGTTTTATCTGTTTTGTGTTCTTTAACATCATGAATTCAGACATATTTTGGCCATGTAAAAAATCATTATAGACTTGTAATGTTATAATTGTTGCAATGTCTGCTCCCCCACTGGCCACGTCTGTCATCACGTTTTTTAATCTCAATGACACTTTTTACCTACCTAAGTAAAAGTGATTGCTGCTTCTACCGAACGTTCTTTTGGCTCAAAATGATTTTAAATATTCTTAAGAGACATGTCTGAGATATGTTTCACAGATTATAAGTTAGCAGGTCATTTACAGTTTAAAGAGCGTAAATATTTATTTTAGCCCTTGATCCTCAGCTGTGGTAGACGGGGATGAGATAATGTGAAAGACACGAAAGCACCGATGAGCTGCGCACATAACCAAAGACATATTCAGGAGCATCATGTAACCACGATATCAGCAATTAACGAGTAACCGTGACTTAGACTAGTAACGGTATTGAGATGATTCGGAGGACAGATGGTCAGGTTAAAAATGCGACTCTGGTGGGACTCGAACCCACAACCTTTGAATCACCTCTCAAGTGCTTGACTAGAAGTCCAATGCGCTATCCATTGCGCCACAGAGCCGGTTAGGAAAGCACCTTTGGCGCAACATGACCTGACACGTCATACATACAGACATTAATTATACAGACTTTAAAAGTTTTACTGTAGGAAAACTCTACACACTTAAGCTAAATGTATTTACGTCTGTCAGCAGAGTTTCATCGAAGTGTTATAAGAAATCAAGTTGCGCTGTAGACTTCGGCTAGCGTTTTATCACTTTTGTGTGCAGCTGTTGTGTTTGTATTTGCTGTTCCGCTTTTTTAAACAAGTAAATAAATAAAAAGTCAGATAAAATTAAATAATAAATACAATAATAAATAAGTAAAATTGCATTTAAAAAAAAGTGAAAGAAAAGAAAAAAAGGGGGTACTTCCGGTGTTTAAGCTTAACTGGTGGTCGTGCTGATCGGTGAAGAACCACAAAAGTAGTAGGTCCAGATGTGTCTAGTCGTAGATTCGTCACATACATTGACACCTCTTGTTGTAAAAGTTTTGAATGACCAAAGTTTTGTAAGGTCGCTCATCCAAGTGACTTCTTCAATCTCAGCTGACTTTAGGTTTCCCCAATCTTATAAACAGCACATTTGCATAATGACTGAAACTAGCACCACTGAAGGAACAATGGGCTAGAGTGACGAAACGGCTCTCCCACTGAAAAGCTTTTGGGGATTTACCTACCTGGATGATTGAGCATGCATCAAGATATTCTCATTGTTGTATCTACTCTGTGTGGTAAAATATAATTAATCCAATTTATTTCTGATGCACTCTTGGCCATATTTCTCTTGAAAAAGACATTTAGGAGTCTCAATTACACTTTATTCCAGCAAAAATAATGATATGTAAAAGTGACTTACAGCTTCTTTGTTGTGACAGGAATGTTCTTTCAGGCTCAAAATTACTTGATACCATTGATGAGAGACGTGTTTGAGATATGTCTCTCATGAATGGATTATAGGCCAACAATTTAAATATCAGAAATCATTTTTTTTAGCAGATAATCTTGCCTTGGTCACCTGAGAGAGGGTGTAGGATATTGAAAAACCCCAAATCCCTGATGACCCCGGGCAGATCCCCAAAGATGTATTTAGAACAGCAATGTGCGTGTGTATCTGCATGAACTGGTGATTTCATTTATTTATTGTTAATTAACTTATTACATATAAAATACTTTCGGTAAGCCACATTTTTAATCCAGTCAAACATTACACACACTGGTAGCCCTGGGCTATTTTTCGTGGATTTTCTGCGAGAGGAACATATAGAATAACACCACTTAACGCTATCACCAGTTAAACTGTAACACCGGAAGTAGTTAGCAATAAGCAACAGTTAGCTTTGCGTTTGATGTTGTGATTAAAGGACGCCGGAAAGCAAAATGTCGGAGCAAACGATAACTATGACAGTCGCATACGGTAATAAGATTTCGGCTTTAAACTACACCATAATCACCACAAAATATAAGTAAAAATTGGGTTTCGTTGTGGCTAAAGCTAGCTAGAAACGGCTCAGCTTCTGTAGCTCTTCTCCAAAGACTGTGTGGTTATGTAGCTTTAACTTAGATCCCGCTGGTTATGTGTTGTTCTTCAATAACAAATCAAATATATAAACTACTGTAAATATCAGCATTTATTAAACACGTTTATGAAGAATTGTGTAGCTGTTGTAATTAGTTTTGTTTGAAGACATGTTACAGCACATTTAGGAAACAGGAGGGCTGCTGAGAGAAATTGTATTGTTGCCAATCGCTTGTTAAATGTTTTGTAATTATTTTTCCTCACACGACAGTGAAACAAAATTTTGCAACCCATCGTTAAAAACTGAACCAAACGTGCGCGATAGTTTCTGAGATATGCCGCATGTTCTGTAATTGGATGGGTGCAAATACTTTTAAAGACTTTTTTTATTATTGTTTTTTAATCATGGTAGGTGACATTTACTTTCTGAATAACACCGATACAAGACAAAAGGGTGACAATGATAACTCTCAATCCTTAATAGCTTGAGAGCTGTGTAATATTTATTTATTTTCCTATTTCAGGATCCTCTAAGCACAGCATCACGCTAACAGGACATGAGGATGGAAAAGGACCCACTGTTAAAGACCTGTCAGATGCTCTCGCTCAAGCCACGGGAGTCCCACCTGCCTCTCAGAAACTTATCTTTAAAGGTAGACTTTTAGTCTTCTTTTTTTTACACACTCAAATGAGGCCTAATGTCATATATCTGGTTTTAAAGTTGTCTTTTTTTTTATTTTAGGGAAGTCACTGAAAGACATGGAAGAGAGCCTTTCCAGCTATGGAATAAAAGAAGGCTGCAAACTCATGATGATTGGAAAGAGGGTAAAGCACATTTATACATGTGCTACATCTCTGGTGCGTGCCTGAATATGTGCATTTGCAAAACACTAATGATAATCTCTAAACAGAACAGCCCAGAGGAAGAAGCTGAACTGAGGAAACTCAAAGACATTGAGAAATGTGTGGAGCAGATGGCCAAGAAGCTGGAGAAGGTAGACGGGGAGTTGACTGGACTGAAAAATGTAAGCAATCATGTCTTTTTGTTTTTTGATAATATATAGGAAAATAAATAAATATTACACACCACTCTTTTGTCCCATCTTCTAATGTATTACTGTCACCCCTATCCTAACACAGGGATTTCTTGCCAAAGACCTCCAGGCAGAGGCCTTGGGTAAACTAGACCACAGAGTA